AAAAATCGGGTGTTCCGGGGGAAAGATCCTTTACACAACATGAGAAGCGAATGTTCTAAAATTACAAAAATTTACAATAACGACAACGATTCCTCGAAATTTTTGTGAACTTGGCAAAAGGAAAAAAGAATATTTAAAGAAAGTAAAAAAAATTGCTTAAATAACCTTCAAAGCACTGACTAAGTACAATAAATCACTGCGAACATAAATCGTATAAACCCCCCGGAAAGTTTACTCAACGACTGATTGCCTGACTGACTGATTGCCTGTCTGACTGATTCGTGTGAATTCGCCAGCCATCACAACAGTGTGAAGTGAAACTTCACACTAAAAACGGATACAAATAGGTGGTTTGCGAAATGGAGAGCAATTTCAAATCTGTTCAGTTTTTTTATACACCCTGTAGTGTTTAGGAAACAAAGAAATACGCTACGTTTCAGTACGATACGGTTGAAGTGGAAAACGGGCTTATAAAAAATGGTTAAAACCCGCAGGAGCATAACTCGTTTAAAAATCAGTAATTACCGCAAAATTTTTCGTGAGAAAATTGAATTTGAATATTACATTTTCAATGTTTTTCTTATTGCAGCGAAATGTATTTTACTAAATAACTCTGCGAGTTTTCACATTTTTCGTTCAAACTTGGTCAGATAGTAGAACTAGTATAATGCTTTCATTGAAACCAATAAAAAAATTTAGGCAAAATTTACACTCAAAGGTGTTCTGTAACCTTAAACGTAATTCAACAACATTTTGGTAAGATACAGGAATCGAACTACAACTTAAACTCTCGCACAGAGACTAATTCAAATTTTATTAACAAGCTATGTCCACGATTGTAGCTAACCATGCATGCTGCAGGACCCTTACCTTGTCGTCCTTTGACAAATGTACGAAAGGCAGAATCCCAGCGGCTAACAAGCGAAGTTTCTCGGTGCATGGACTTTCTAAAAAGGATTGACTAACTGCTAAAATTTACCCGCATGTTTGATTGACAAATGGCGAAATATCTAATATTGGTGAATGACAAACGATAAAACAAACATGGTAAAAATACATCACGCTGACCGCTAACAGTTACCAGTCCCTACAACGAAGTAACTTCACATTAAAACGACCTCGCAACAAACCAATTAATATAGTTGCTCCGTGAGTGCACATGCACAATTGTAGGATAAATTATTTACGAACCTCGCCAGGTAAAGATGGCAATAAATGTACAGCAAAACATTGTTAAGGAAATTGCAAAGTTAGTTAAAGAGAATTGGCAACAAAAAATTACGTTTGTTTCATTCGAAATAAAGATATTTTATAATAATATATAAAGACCCTTAACAATTCTTTTCTATTTTGCTTGCACGTTTTAGAGATATTTTGACCAGACACATCCAATGGGGTTTTAACATTCGTGATTCGACCTAATTAATTGGGATTCTGGTGACGTCGGTTGACAAAATAATAGTTTCCGTTTACCTTAGTTGCAGTGACGTCTGCATATCGAACCAAGAACCAAAATAGCGGCCTGCACACAATTCTTGGTCGAACTATTTCGAAAACTAAACACGATGAAAGATGAAAGGGGTCTTCATATATCATTTGAAATAAGACGAACTAAATTTTTATTTGCATTTCCCTTTTAGTACATAATCATGCAGATGGAAAAAATAGGTTACACCCTATATATGCACAGTCCAGCACAGATTAGACGATGTGTTTTTTCCAAACAATTAGTATTAAAAATTCCACCCAGTCAATCGAGTCCATTGTTTTGAAAATCCCACTATTAATGTTATTCTTGCCAGCCATTCCGGCTTATATTTATGCAAAACACAATTAATATTATGAAACTAGTTTAACAATGCAATGATGTAAATTAAAACGTTATTTCTAATTTTTATTAACTTATTTTTCTTTGTGTTACATAACGAGCATTTAAAAGTTTCAATCATCACATCCAATCAACCTAGTTAACAGTTTTATCTGCCAATATATTCATCCTTAGCTCCAACCGACAGTATTTACTAAGAGAAATATATACTTTTAATTACAAATTACCGTGTAGTTACTTTAAAATCAGTGGTGTCTACTATCGGTTAAATCCTGGGTTTTTTTGTAAAGACATGCTGCACATCTCTTTATTTTTAAGCTTTATTCATTGATAATGATATTCACCTCACTTGGAGAAAATATCACCGGCGTTTCATTTACAATGTTTTTGGTCCATCAGATAAATAATAGATCTGAAATTTCCATTTTAAGAAAACTATTGAAATTGTCCATCACATTAATGTACAGATGAGCCAGTCAGCTATGGTTGAGTTTTGGTAGCTATGTGCCAAATTCTCATTTTCGCAAAAAAATCCGCACATCTACATGATGTATAAGCAAAGAATGGAACAAGGTTAGGCCTGTTGTTATTAGTAATTTGGTACTAATCTCTAAAATTCATAACTTGAACATCAATTTTTACAAAGCAGCTTTCTTTAAAAAAATATTCAGGGATTTTACTTTTTCAGCAGAAGCAGCCAAGCAACGAAAAGAATTGAGGCACCTAACGAGTATTTTAGTCGGAAAATTTTAAGTATAGTCAGCTTACGATTACTTCGTTTCAAGGCAAATGTACCACAACGCTCTACAAAACTTGTTTCGTAATTATTATTGATTTTCGTTCTGTTTTCTCAATATCTTTTAGTGTATAAACACTATGTTCTTTAGGTCATTAGGGTGAATGTTCATTTCTTTGTTAGTGTGCTGATATACATGGTCGATACAAATAGTGATTTGGCCAAAGACTGTTCATGATCTCAATATCTTTTATTTTTGTTTGTAACCCTTCAGTTCGCATTGTGCAAGTTTCACACGAAAAGTGTCACGATGTTATTAGGTGACGTCACGATGACGAAAACATTAATTTGATTGACAGGCGCGGCGAGCGAGGCGTACGAAAAAGTAACACAAGCTAGGCGTTTTATGTATTGTAAACAAATGACTATTTCTCTCGATTTCTTGTTAATCAGAAACTATATCGTAATAAACTAACACGTTACATGGTGTCAGGAGTGTTCTGAGTCGAAATAAAACGATGGTTGAACCACAGGCAGAAATCCAAGCGCCACAAATGGCCCAGACGCCACAAATATTTATAGCGCCATCGAATTTGCCACCGCCAAAGTCGCTTATATTCGACGATAACTTGGCAACTACATGGAAGTCTTGGAAGAAATCATGGACACGGTACGAGATTGCAACAGGTGTACAAAAACAAGAAGGTATTGTCAGAGTATCAACCTTGTTAAGCGTAATCGGCGAGGACGGTGTTAAGGCATATGACACTTTTACTTGGAGCGAAGATGAAAATCAAAATGATGTTGATATTGTACTTAAAAAATTTGATGAATATTGTTCACCGAGAACTCAAATAATCTATGAACGATACCGTTTCAACAATAGAAACCAGGCACCTGGAGAAAACATCGCAACCTACCTAACGGAACTGAGAACAATCGCCAGAAATTGTGCACATGACTCGATTACACCAGACGAAATTTTACGGGATCGTCTTGTTTTAGGCATTCGTGATCACCACGTCCGAGAACGTTTATTGAGGCTAAACGATCTCACGTTACAGAAGGCAGTCGACACTATCAAAGCCGCGGAACAAACACAGCAGCAAGTCAAGCTCATGAGCACCGGAGAAGATTTTGTAAACACGCTAAGGAGAACACAACAAGAAGACGCCGGTATAGAAAGTAAACAATATCGAAAGACAAAACCGCCGAGATATTCAATGCGAAACCGCCAGCAGGAAGGATTGTTTACAGAGTGTGGAAATTGTGGTATGGTTCACGACGAACGGAATTGTCCAGCGTTCGGGAAAAAGTGTTTTAAATGTGAAAAGATGAATGATTTCGCGCGGAAATGCCGAGGAAAAAATAGCAAAGCATCACAAGTCAACCAAACTACGGAAGTCGAGCAAAAACCGGAAGAAGATCTTTACTGCATCAGTTCTATTTCTGACAGCAACGAGCCGAAAGCACGCAAAGCTGTGATCAATTTGCAAGTGTCGAAGCCAGAGGCGGAGAACACGGTTCAATTCCAGATAGACACTGGGTCGCAATGTGACATTCTCCCAGCAAGTTCATACATACAAGTTACTGGTGACAAACAACTGCAAGGCCTAAAGACCTGCAAGAAGGAGATCGTTTCGTACACAGGAGAACATCGTAAAATCACCGGAAGAGCCAAATTGCCGGTGTGGTTCGGAGATCAGCAAAGAACATTGAACTTTAACATTATTCACGGAGATTATCAACCAGTTTTATCATTAGATACAAGCATCGCTCTTGGCGTTGTCAATTTGACCAACTGTGACATTTTGGCACTGACAATAAAGCCTCCAGAAGACAACTCGTATGTTGCAGAAGAGTATGCCGACGTTTTTGATGGCCTGGGCGAGATACCAGGAGCTCACACGATAACTATAGAAGATACGGCGAAGCCAGTTATCCATGCCCCTCGACGTGTTCCAGTCGCATTACGATCTCAAATAAAAGCCAAACTAGATGAGTTAGTCGACCGAAAAGTCATTGTCCCTGTCACAGAACCCACTCGTTGGGTATCCAGTATGTTGGCAGTCGTCAAGCCGAACAAGATCCGTATATGCATCGAC